GTCTACCCGGTCCATACCACAGATTGGGTATAAAATTACCCATTAAAAGGTTGATTTTACAAAACTGCCATTTTCACTTTTCAAGATTCAATAGCAGAATCCTTATTTATAATTTTCTGAAAATAACGTTTGTAAATCTATTATTCGTTAGGAGTCAAGCCAATGTGAGAACATTTCTAATCCAACTCTACTGACAAACAGGTGTGTTAGTAAAATCTTTACTAGGCAGCATGTGAAAAATAATTTATTCATTTGTATTTAGACTCAAAAGCTTCAAATAAATATTTTAATGTATTTGACTTTATGTAAATATACATATAAGTTTCTGAACTTACATGTAGTGTAAACATCCCTTTAATATGAGCTCCTTTTTACACAGGTTCTTATATTCTAATCTCTTTGTGATATCTATTTATTTATGTACTTTGTGTATAAATCTGAATATTACTGAACTCAAAATGAAAATATACATATGCTACATGAGAAAATTATCTCTAAAACTAAATTCCTTAAGTGCTTCAGCAAAGAATACAGCAATATCTGTTTAACTATCTAATAGAATATAGCAAGGAGATGATCCAATAAACTCCAAATACAAAATGCAGAATTTAGTATTCTGTGCTACTTTTATATTAAGATATCCAATTGTATACAGTGGCTTTAACTATCAATTCATAAAAGAAGTAAATTAATAACAATAAAATACTATTAAGAAATCATCTGTTTAGTGGTTCTTAAAGTATTGATATTAATGGAGCCACAAATTCATAACGTCAGGGCACATGCCAAGAATGTGTGTAAAAGTATGCAGATTTTAATATAATGCATCAGTTTCCATGATTGATCATCAGTGATATTTAAATCAACCTAAATATTCCAATCTTGAGGGAAAAAATATTTTCAACTTATAGGCTTTCTACACGGGGGAAAACTCAGTTGAGGTTGTGGCAATTGAGCAGATGTTACTAAAAAGAAAACAAAAAATATTGAAGGATGCTCACTAATTAAGCTAAATCCTATAAATGAAGCTCAGAAGTTCATATCTCCTTTGACTTTAGTGAGTCTTTAAATAATTATAATGAATCTGTAAGTTCTAGCCAGCCTTTCTGCTTATGCATCATTAAAATCAAACTTCTAGTTCTGCCAGTGTATTAACTTGTCTATGTATCCACATAATTAGCACCTCATCATTTTATGTTCTTCTGGGACTTTCTAGCATCTTCTAATCTCTCATGAAACTGGGAAAAGCAGTTACTACCACCTCATAAAATTCTGCTGTCCTTCAACTTCTGCTATTTTCCTTGTATGAAAACTAGATTTTAAAAGAGGAGGAGAAATATTGAGCAGATCAGTAAGTTTTCAAGATGTTATTTAAAGTATGGAGAAACCCAGAAAACTGAATGACTTTAGTTAATCTGTCCAGATCCATGCTCTCATGCCCTTGTTGCACCTACTTAATTGTTGGGATTTTGATTTTGGCATCTCGGAATGCAGCGACTCCGAGTTGGGTACCTTGCCACACTCTGTCACCGGGGATGCGCTGCTGCTAGAAGAGATAATTCCTGCTTCCTGCTTGAGTGCAATTTATGTTGATATTTAATTTTTTAATTGACTTTTTGTTTTTGGTACCGACTTCTTTGATCGGCCTAACAGCCCTGAAGACCGATCGGCCCCCCAGTGCTATTGTTGTGAGGTTATTGTTTTACTCTGCTATAAGAAAGTACTTTTTGAGAAGTTCTTCCGTGCAGTCAACTAGTTTTTAGGCTATTCCTTGGTTGCGCATGACCGAACACATTTAGAAATATTTTTCTTCTCTTTGGTTTTGGAGGGTGGCTGGGTTGAAAGGCCCAGAGGCCGCCTTTTGGTCTCTGCCAAAGTTTCTGCCCGTCAAGTTTGCGGCTTGATGAGCGAGAGGAGCCCCTGGACCTTACAGACTGCCCTGCTTCTCACAGTTGCCTCCCGGCAGGTCAGCCGCGGCGACATTTGCTGCTGGACTCTGGCGGGGGCGGGGGTGGGGGTTCGCTCCTGAGCCAAAATCGCCGCGGCCTCAGGCGGAGCCGGCAGCTACGGGAGAGGAACTCGGTGGCTAAAGCCGCGGAGCGGTGGGCGTCGGGCACCGAGTGACACGCACTGGGCACCAGGTAAGAGACGTCCCTAGCGATCTGGGGAGCTGAGTAGGTGTCGGGAAGAGCCCGACAGCCTCCCTAGTGCGCCGTCCCGGGGGATCCAGAGCTGCCCAGGCTGAGGTTGCAGAGCTGGGGCTGTGCGCCAGGGACGCGCGGGGACCTCAGGGCAGTTCTTCCGATCCTTTCCACGCGCCAAACCCACCGCTTTCCTGTGTTGTAGGAAGGCTGAGAAACTCCGAAGTTCTTCCCAGAGCCAAGGCAGGCGTGGCGGGAAGGAGCTCGCCTGCCTTGGGACGCACCTGTTGCCAGAGAATGACCCCTGCCTCAGCTCTGCAGCCCTCCCCCGCCGCCAGGGCGCAGGGTGTGGCCCGAGAGTGCGCAGCCCCGCGCCACCGCCGGGTCACTAGTTCTGGCTCCTCGCCCGGCTAAGCCTTCTGAATGGGACCCCGAGGCCAGGGCCAAGGTCACGGCGCGTCTCTGGCTGAGGCCCCTGTGGGCTGCTGCAGCCTCGCCCCAACGGCGACTCCCTTACTCTCCCCTCCCGGCACACGTCCCGGGTGGGCGCTGCCAGACACAGTCCCCGGAAAGAAATCAGTGTAGTCGCCCTCCTGCGCTCCAGGTCGCTTCCTTTCGGGTTCAGGGCTCATTCGGAAGGTAAGGATGAGCTTAACCGCTGAGCTGCGGTTGCGGTGAGCCCTTGGAGTCGAAAGCGACTCGGGGAGGCGACGCGTGGGGCACCTCCGCCTGTCAGGCCGTGGCGACTGTCAACCCATTTTATGGCAAGCAAAGTTGTGGCACCTTTACTCGCTCATCCTCTTCTAGTCGTTAACCCTTCCAACGGATGGGGAACGGGGGAACCAACTTCTAAAAGTGTCCCGGGGTTCGGGCCCTGAGCTGGGCCACCCCACACTCACACACCGAGGCCCTTGGGAAAGCAGAGGGCGTCGCGGAGCGGAGTCCGGGCCTGGACACCGCAGATCTCGGGTTCAGGCACAGCTGTGTTCCTGGAGCTAAGGACGCTCGGGGACGGGGAGAGGGAGGGCTCTGGTCTGCTCCCGCAAAGGCTCGGGTGCTTCCTCCCTGCTCGGCGCGGACGGGCGGTGCTGGGCAAGAGTGGCTTCTGGCTCGGACGCCCACAGCCCCGGCCCCTGTCTTTCCAGCCCCGCAAATGAGTTGTTCAGCTTGTATTTCGATGACTGATCTCCCCTGCGACCTTCTCGACTAATTTGAGTACATTTTAAACTTCATTTTACGTTATCCACTGAGAAAACTGAGACATTTTTAAAAAGGTAAAATACTTTGCAGCGGCGTGATTTTCCACTCCTTCATTGCAAGCCTTCTGCTCTAACTATACTTTGCTACTTCTCGAAATCAGAACTCAGGAGCATTTTCCGTTTGGGGAAAGACAGTCGCCGATGGCCAAGGGTGGGGAAGGTGGCTCTGGAGGACCGAGGCCAGGCCTGTGCGCTGTCACCAGGGCGGGGAAGCTTCCAGTCCCGCCTCCCCACTGGATCAGCTGGGAGCCGCCAAGCGCTGTCTAGGGACCAGCCGCTCCCCCTAGCTTCCGTGCACCGCCTGGGACCGCAGAAATTCTGGAGCCTTTTTTTTTTTTTTTCATAAGCTGCTCGGGGAATGTCATTATCAGCTAAAATGGGGCCAGTCGGGTGAATTAAAAAAACAAAACAAAACAAAACATTCTTTGTGCTCAGATATTAGGAATGCCGTTTAGACATCGATCTTTCCGTATCCAATCTAATCTCCTGGCTTCGTTTCGAGAAACTTTCCTTCCACAGAGGTGGAGGTGGCAGAAGAGGCCACTGTCAGTCTTCAAGAACATTAACGTCCTGGCTTTGACGGGGGACCGCTGGCCATTTTCTTTCTTTTCCAGAGAAGCGAACTTCGGCGTAGAGAAAACATTCGTTCCAATGTGGCGTTTACCCCTCCGGCTGGTATTGCCAGGGCTGCTTTCACAGCGTCACGATCCGTCAACGAGGCACAGCCTCTCAGAGCGTGCAAACTGCGGGCCTGGGCACAGTCCTTCTGCTGACCGTCCGATTTGTGTCAGTGGAAGGTGGGGCCTCCTCCTCCCGGCGCTCGCAGGACTCCGCGGCGCAGAGGCCCCGACTGCCCGAGGTTCCGGGACGGATTCGGCTTCGCACTTTCCACCGAGACACTCAGCCACGAGCTAGCTTCTGTCTCCGGTTCCTCCAAGCCCGGAGCGTGGCGTTGTCCGGGTTGCCTAGGGGGACACCCCTCGGGCTCTCCCGCTTCCCAAGGCTTCTGCCTTCCCGCCCATCGCGCTGCTTAGCTAAAGTCTTGATGGACAAAAACACAGCAAGGGGGAAGAAAGATCTGCGCCCACGGAAGCCTCCAAACTCCAGGCCTTCTTTTTATTTTCCGAAACGACTCTGCGCTGGCCCGTAAGAGTCCACGCACGCACAAGGGGCTCTCCGGATCCTTTCGTTGTCTAACCACGCACACGCGCACACACACACACACACACACACACACACACCGTATAGTTTATTATTCCTTCCTGAGCTTCCGCTTTCCCTTGTCCGCCGGCGTAGGGCTGCCCTATCCACGGGGACCCAACGGCGCGGCCGGCTGGCGCGGAGCTACAGATGCTCCCGGCGCTCCCACGCAGCGGCCAGAGGCGGCACCGCTGCGGGCGGGGACTGTCCCACCATCCTCAGCTAGCGCCAAGGTCTTGGAAGCCTGGAGCGGGAACAGTCTCTCCCGAGCTCTCAGGAACCTTTCCAAGCCCTAGCAATCTCTCCCCGCCCCCGGCCCCACTCCCCTTCCTTTCCACCCCCCCTTCCCAAACTGCTTTTCTTGTAGCATTAGGATTTTTTCGCTCAGTTTTAGATCCAAGGAAGTTAAAGAATTGTGCAAAACTGAAATTCTTTTAGTAATCCATGTTTTAAAACAAAGGAGGAGACAAAGAAAGCAAGAGACCTCTCCCCACAAGAGTGTCAAGGGCAACCCCATCACCAAATAAGGACATCCCGTTACAGCCACCCCAGAAGGGCGCACTAAACAAAATCGACAGAATGGCAGTGTTTGGGCAAAGTGACCTAATGAAGAAAAACTTCAGACAGCGAACTTCGATAATGCAGTCCCACCACCGCCACCCCTTAGCCTGGCTGGTAGTACCTGCCCTTCATCCGCACCTCTGTCCCTCAAACCTTATCCTTAGGGCCTGTTTTTGCCCACATTTCTCTAAACTTGGGAGCAGCTATGAAAGGAAGGAGAGAGAATGTTTCGATTCCTCTCTCCAAACCCAGAGGAACCTACGCCAACCGCCTGGCCCGCTTCTCTGCCCTTCCTTTGGTTCCTGATGAGTAATTTGGTTAGGGAAATTGGGAAAGGGGGGTGGGGTGGAAGAAAGTTTAAAAAAAAAATCAGGAAGGCGTGAGCTGGAGCGGTGAGTGTGTCAATCAGAGGGTTTTGTGCCCGGGGGCTCCTAGCGGTTCAGTGCAGAGGTGTCCCTGGGCGGTCCCACAATGAATATGAATAGGAATCCTTGCTAAATGGGACAGCAAAGCGCACCGCCCTGAATGATGGCACGTCATCCTAACCAGCCCAGGATAGATAGGAGGGCTCCTTTTGTCTCTTTTCTCCGCAGCAGCTCTATAAAAGCCCCTCTTTTTTCAGCGAGAGGTTAGTGCAAGCACACACCGACTAGCTGTCCAGGAAACAGCCTAACCAGAGAGAGGGGAGTGGGGAGGGAGAGAGGCGGGGAAAGGCAGTGCCTCTGCTTTTCTTCTCACGTCTTGCTGCTGAGAAGTGGGTTGCTGGGCTGGGCAGATTTTTTTTTTAATTCAAGATTTTCTTTAATTTCCCGCCTAAAGCCTCCCCACGGTAGGGCCGCATCCCTTGTAATAAAATGAATTCTGATTCGAGCTCTGTCTCCAGCAGAGCTTCATCTCCCGACATGGATGAGATGTACCTGAGGGACCACCACCACCGCCACCACCACCACCAGGAGAGCCGTCTGAACTCAGTCTCGTCCACGCAGGGCGATATGGTGCAGAAGATGCCCGGGGAAAGCCTGTCTCGGGCTGGCGCCAAGGCCGCGGGAGAAAGCAGCAAGTACAAAATCAAGAAGCAGCTGTCGGAGCAGGACCTACAGCAGTTGCGGCTGAAGATCAACGGACGCGAGCGCAAGCGGATGCACGACCTGAACCTCGCGATGGACGGGCTGCGCGAGGTCATGCCCTACGCGCACGGGCCCTCGGTGCGCAAGCTCTCCAAGATCGCCACTCTCCTGCTGGCCAGAAACTACATCCTCATGCTCACCAGCTCCCTGGAGGAGATGAAGAGGCTGGTTGGTGAGATCTACGGGGGCCACCACTCGGCCTTCCACTGCGGGACCGTGGGCCACTCGGCCGGCCACCCGGCGCACGCGGCCAACGCCGTGCACCCGGTGCACCCGATCCTGGGCGGCGCGCTCTCGTCCAGCAATGCCTCGTCACCCCTGTCCGCCGCCTCGCTGCCGGCCATCGGCACCATTCGGCCTCCTCACTGATGATACAAGTAAGAAACTTAGCATGTAGTGTAAACCATCCCTTTAATATGAGCTCCTTTTTACAACAGTTCGTCTATATTCTAATCTCTTGTGATATCATTTATTTATGTACTTTGTGTATAAATCTGATATATTACTGAACTCAAAATGAAAATTACATATGCTACAGAGAAAATTATCTCTAAAATAAATTCTAAGGTGCTTCAGCAAAGATACAGCAATAATCTGTTTAATTATCTAATAGATGATCCAATAACTCCAAATAAAAACCAGAATTTAGTATTCTGTGCTACTTTTATATTAAGATATCCAATTGTATACAGTGGCTTAACTATCAATTCATAAAAGAATAAATTAATAACAATAAAAGACTATTAAGAAATCATCTTTTAGTGGTTTAAAGTATGATATTAATGGAGCCACAATTCATAACGTCAGGGCACATGCAAGAATGGTGTAAAAGTATGCAATTAATATAATGCATCAGTTTCCTGGATGATTATCATCAGTGATATTTAAAATCAACCTAAATATTCCAATCTTGAGGAAAAAATATTCAACTTATAGGCTTTCTACACGGGGAACTCAGTTGAGTTGTGGCAATGAGCAGATGTTACTAAAAAGAAAACAAAAAATATGAAAGATGCTCACTAATTAAGCTAAATCTATAAATGAAGCCCAGAAGTTCATATCTCCTTTGACTTTAGTGAATAATTATAATGAATCTGTAAGTTCAGCCACTTTCTGCTTATGCATCATTAAAATCAACTTCTAGTTCTGCCAGGTATAACTTTCTAGTATCCACAAATTAGCACCTCATCATTTTATGTTCTCTGCGGACTTTCTAGCACTTTCAATTCTCATGAAACTGGGAAAAGCAGTACTACCACCTCATAAAATTCTGCTGTCCTCAACTTCTCTATTTCCTTGTATGAAAACTAGATTTTAAAAGAGGAGGGAAATACTGAGCAGATCAGTAAGTTTCAAGATGTTATTTTAAGTATGAGAAAACCAGAAAACTGAATGACTTCAGTTAATGTCCAGATCCATCCTCTCATGCCTCTGTTGCACCTACTTAATGTTGGGATTTTGATTGGCTCTCGGAAGCCAGGGACTCCCGAGTTGGGCTACCTGCACACTCTGTCACCGGGACGCGCTGGCTAGAAGGAGAATCCTGCTTCCTGCTTGAGTGCAATTATGTTGATATTTAATTTTTAATTGACTTGTTTTTGTACGACTTCTTTGATCGACCTAACAGCCTGAATACTGATCGCCCCAGTGCTATTTTGTGAGGGTATTTTTTACTCTGCTATAAGAAATTACTTTTTGAGAAGTCTTCCGGCAGTCAACTATTTTTAGGCTATTCCTTGGTTGCGCATGACCGAACACAGTTAGAAATATTTTCTTCTCTTTGGTTTTGGGAGGTGCTGGGTTGAAGCCCAGAGGCGCCTTTGGGTCTCTGCCAAATTTCTGCCAAGTTGCGGCTTGATGACGAGAGGAGCCCCTGGACCTTACAGACTGCCCTGCTTCTCACAGTTGCCTCCCGCAGGTCACGCGGCGACATTTGCTGCTGGACTCTGCGGGGCGGGTGGGGTTCGCTCCTGAGCCAAGTCGCCGCGGCCTCAGGCGGAGCGGCAGCTACGGAGAGGAACTCGGTGGCTAAAGCCGCGAGCGGTGGCGTCGGGCACGAGTGACACGCACTGGGCACCAGGTAAGAGACGTCCTAAGCGATCTGGGAGCTGAGTAGGTGTCGGAAGAGCCGAAGCCTCCCTATGCCGTCCCGCGGATCCAGAGCTCCCAGGCTGAGGTGCAGAGCTGGCGGTGCGCCAGGGACGCGGGACTCAGGGCAGTTCTCCGATCTTTCACGCGCCAAACCCCGCGTTTCCTGTTGTAGGAAGGCTGAAAACTCCGAGTCCTTCCCAGAGCAAGGCAAGCGTGGCGGAAGGAGCTCGCCTGCTGGACGCCACCTGTTGCATCAGAATGACCCCTGCCTCAGCTCTGCAGCCCTCCCCGCCGCCCAGGCGCAGGTGTGGCCGAGAGTGCGCAGCCCGCGCCACGCCGGTCACTATTCTGGCTCCTGCCCGGCTAAGCCTTCTGAATGGACCCAAGGCCAGGGCAAGTCACGGCGTCTCTGGCTGAGGCCCCTGTGGCTGCTGCAGCCGCCGCCAACGGCGACTCCCTTACTCTCCTCCGGCCACAGCGTCCCGGGTGTGGCGTGCCAGACACAGTCCCGGAAAGAAATCAGTGTAGTGCCCTCCTGCCTCCAGGTCGTTCCTTCGGTTCAGGGCTCATTCGGAAGGTAAGGATGAGCTTACGCTGAGCTGCGGTTGCGGTGAGCCCTGAGTCGAAAGCGACTCGGGGGCGACGCGTGGGGCACCCCGCTGTCAGGCCGTGGAGACTGTCAACCCATTTATGCAAGCAAAGTTGTGCACTTTACTTGCTCATCCTTTCAGTCGTTAACCCTCAACGGATGGGAACGGGGGAACCAACTTCTAAAAGTGTCCCGGGTTCGGGCCCGAGCTGGGCACCACACTCCACCGAGCCCTTGGAAAGCAGAGGCGTCGCGAGCGATCCGGCCTGGACACCGCAGATCTCGGGTTCAGCACAGCTGTGTTCCTGGAGCTAAGACGCTCGGGACGGAGAGGAGGCTCTGGTCTGCCTCCGCAAAGGTCGGGTGCTTCCTCCCTGCCGGCGCGACGGGCGGTGCTGGGCAAGAGTGCTTCGGCTCGGACGCCACAGCCCCGGCCCCTGTCTTTCACCCCGCAAATGAGTTGTTCAGCTTGTTCGATGACTGACTCCCTGGACCTTCTCGACTAATTGAGTACATTTAAACTTCATTTTACGTTATCCACGGGAAAACTGAGACATTTAAAAAGGGTAAAATACTTGCAGCGGCGTGATTTTCCACTCCTTCATTGCAAGCCTGTCTAACTAACTTTGCTACTTCTCGAAATCAGAACTCAGGAGCATTTCCGTTTGGGGAAAGACAGTCGCCATGGCCAAGGTGGGGGAAGGTGGCTCTGGAGGAGACCGGACCAGGCCTGGTGCCCCAGGGCGGAAGTTCCTGCCCGCCCCCACTGGATCAGCTGGAGCCGCCAAGCGCTGTCTAGGACCAGCCGCTCCCCTAGCTCCTGCACGCCTGGACCGCAGAATTCTGAGCCTTTTTTTTTTTTTTCATAAGCTGCTCGGGAATGTCATTATCAGCTAAAATGGGGCCAGTCGGGTGAATAAAAAAACAAAACATTCTTGTGCTCAGATATTAGAATGCCTTAGAACATTCTTCCGTATCCAATCTAATCCCTGGCTTCGTTTCGAGAAACTTTCCTTCCACAGAGGGGAGTTGCAAGAGGCCACTGTTCAGTCTTCAGAACTTAAGTCTGCTTTGACGGGGGACCGCTGGCCATTTCTTTCTTTTCCAGAGAAGCGAACTTCGGGTAGAGAAACATTTGTTCAATGTGGCGTTACCCCTCGGCTGTATTGCAGGGCGCTTCACAGCGTCCGATCCGTCAACGAGGCACAGCCTCTCAGAGCGTGCAAACTGCGGCCTGGGCACAATCCTGCAGGAGTTGTAAGAAAACATAGTTTATACCTCCCCAAGAGCTCTTCTTTCCTATGATCCCATAGTATTTGCAAGCTTTGACCAGAAGACAACCTATTAAACGAACATGTGCAGTACTTTTGTGCTAATGTTAAACTTGTTCCCATTGTTATGGATGCCTTTCGCAAATGGGGACATCAAGGGCACCACAATATGGAGAGGTACTATGTCCTTGTTATAGTAGACCTGTCTTATAAAAGGTTTACAACCCCAAGCTGCATATGCCCACTAGTTTTTAGTTTCTACAACTACTTAAAACTCTTAAGTTGAATTGATTGTAGACTTTTGGCCAACACCTTTCCTGCCACACTTTCTTTAGCAACACTTTTCTATTGGATGCCTGCTTTTGGCATTACTTTCCCCAGAGGCATTATTTCCCATTTAATGTAATTATTTCAATTAATAGATCTGATGGGAGCAAAAGAGCTATTATCCCCTGCTTCATTTTCACAAGAGGTAAAGATGAAGATGAAGAGATGGAACAATTATAGCAAGTATTCTTGAAAATTATACAGAAAATGGCTGCTGATTTCCTTTATACAAATAAATCAACATATAAAAGATTTTTCCCACAGAAAAAGAATTTTAACTATGGACTGAATTTTAAAATAGGCTTAGAAATCTATGTCAATGAAATGAGAATTGTCTTTCTTTTTCTGAATACAAATGTCTAGTATTGTATTCTTATTCAAGTAAAAGCATTGTAGTAGAATGAGCATTTATTGGGCTACTTGAATTGTCCCTCAGTATAAAGCTGAAACTTTCTTTTTCCTTGTTAGAAATGGAGAAAATTAAGAACTTATTTGAGAACACTGTCCAGCAATATTGGGCTATGTATAGTATTAATTTTAAAAATTCTACTTCTTAGCAGGGTTTCAGTCTACTAGTATTCTCAGTTTTCCACTTTGCCTCTGCTGCAGTTTCTGAGCCATCCTAATACTCAAAAGTACAATCCCTGAAGGATTATTCAGTGTTTTCATTCTTCTCACAGCTTTATCTCAGGCAATTTGACTAGCTCAACATATTGCAGGGTGTATGACTAGGGAAGGAGAGTGCTGTGAAGTCCACAGGGTATTTGCTATACCCTTGCCCTTGGAAAACAGCCACAAATGGTTCTCTATTAAATTATTAGAATCAATGTTACAATTTCCATGAATTTATAAAGCAAACATATATTTGGGAGTGCTCCCACACAACTCCATAAAATACACTTAAGGTTAGGATTAAATTTATATTTATGGATTAAGGATATGTATTTAGTGTTTTCTACACTCCTCTTTCTTTTCTTCCTCATTACAAAGTTTTATTTTTCTAAGTCTGCTTGAATGTACTATACTTGCTATAATAAAAAGAGAAAAACCCAAAGTTGTTTAAAAGTATGTAATTGAAATATTCACATCTA